AAAAACAAAAACAAAAACAGGAACTTTAAGATATGCAATAGTCAACTTCGTTTTCGATCTTTAACCGCGATTTATTGTTAGATGTTGATGAGCGAAATTAGGATTGTAAATCTGGAGATGGTGATGACATGGTGTCTGTTCTTGCTCCGTTGAGGAATCTTTTTTTGGAGGACCGGGACCCAAAGTTATCAATACTATAATTGTATGTGTTTGAATTTTGTTATTAGAACGATACGTATTAGATATCAAAATTTTTTGTATATTATTTCAGATTTATCACTATAAATATATATTTTTATAAATTAAATATCAAATTTTAAAATAAAATAAAAGATATTAATGCTTAAAACAATCATATTCCTATAAATTGAAAACAAGTTTAAAATGATTATTTTTAGTTCATCAACTTTAATATATGTATATTTTTCATCCATTTACTTTAAGTTAAGGGACTAAAAATGTGTATGTTTAGATTAACTTAACGAAGTAATTGACAAAAGAATTAAAAAAAATACATTTTTCATAGTTGATAGACTAAAAAAGTATGTAAAAAATTAAAGGATAAAAATTATGTAGAACAATTATGTAGAACATTAAAGTTAAGGACCAAAAATAAAATTTATCATTTTTAAATTTGAATTGAGTGGTACCGAACAATTTTCGTGTATCGACCAGTACATTAAAATACTAATCGTTACACCAAAATTTGACCAAAATAGATAAAATTTGATTGAAACAAAATTGGACCATATATCATTTCGGTTTAATGTAAAAACCGATACAGTACGGTAATGATAACTATGCCGAGATCCCTCATCATCGTCATCGGAGATGGACGAGTTGAAAGGAGTGTCACCAGGAATGTATTGTGTTTGGATGCCAAAAAGCAAAGTCAAATCGTCCCGAGCAGATGCAGGAAGAGTAAATCGATGGGATTGCTCTCCAATTGATGGCCGAGGTTGCAAGATTTTCTTCGGAGAAGCAATAGCAAGAGTAAGGACTCGCCCATTCTAAATCATTCCTCAAATTTGGCGATGAAAAACCAAAAAGAGAAGAAGGCGAAGAAGAAGAGCTCGAGCCAAGCAAAGGTGAATGGAGCCAAGAAATTATTAGCACATGAGTTGTTCTCTGTGAAAAATCCTAAATCTCCAAAAAGGGACTGAAGTAGTTTTTTCCTTTTTTCTTTTTTTTTTTTGGGTTGGGATGCAAGGATAAGTGGAAAAAGTCTTGCCAACAAGTGATCTCCACTACATATGTGTAAAAAGAATACTTGAACTTATAATGCGATATAATACTTTGGATTTTACGTATTATATTGGATTGTTTACAAGTTTAGAAAAATGAAAGATGTTGATAAAATAAATAAATAAATAAAGGGCGCAATAGGGGATTTGACTTTTTTTTTAAAAAATTAATTAAATTATTAATAAAAACGACATATTCTCACCAAATGTCTAAGTCAAGGTTTAAACTTTAATCCTATTCTCCCTCTTCCTTCCCCATTGCCTATAAAATTTTAATTAATTATTTAACCTGTCTCATTATATTTTAGAGACAAATAACTTGTGTTCTCATAGCAAACCGATACATCAACTCTTCTTGTTGGCACTAGTACATTGAAAAGTCCATCACCACATTTAAATCACACTTCTCTTATAATAAACATAATACTTGGCAAAACAAATGAAGCCACATAGTCCTACGGCATTGAATCCAGCCAACACCGAGTAGAAATAATCAAGATGTGCCCGATTGATATCATTAGCAAACCAGCTATCTCCGCCGTTGCCGCTGGTGGCTCTGTCTATAACAGAGATGATCAAACCGCTGAGCAAGTTACCCACTCCGAATATACTCAGGTATAGCGAAAGACCCACACTCCTCAGATCATTCGGTACCTGGTCGTAGAAAAACTCTTGCAGACCAACCATGCTGAAGGCGTCCGATACCCCAAACAACACATACTGAGGGAGCAACCACCACACGCTCATTGGAACCTCTGCGCTGTGGTGATCAATTAGTCCGTGTTCCTTAGCTGTTTTCAGCCTCTGTTTCTCAACCAGGGCGGCGATTGTCATGGACAGGGCAGATAGTAACATCCCAGTTCCAATTCTCTGGAGCATTGAGATTCCAGAGGGTTTGGATGTGTATAATCTGGCTGCCGGAACAAGGACGCGGTCGTAGACGGGGATGAAGAGGATGATGGTGAGGCTGATAACGGCTTGCAGGGTAGCAGCGGGGATTTTGAAGGTGAGGATTGATCTGTCCATGGTGGCTCCCTGTTTGGTGAAGAAGGTTCCAGATTGTGCGAAGACAATGGCGTAGACTAAGCTTGTTGCCCATATTGGGATTAGCCTAAGTGCTGCCTTTGCTTCTTCCACTTCCTCCACGCTGCATTCTCTGTAATTTTCGTTTGATCCATTTGGAATCAGCAATGCTTTGTTTAGGAACCTGTAGCAAAATTACAGATGATCCTTGATTGCATAAAATATTTTTAATTGGGGGCAAATTTATATTGAGATTCATAAATAAAGTAACCTTAAAAAATTGATTAAGAGAATTTATATAGATTCATACGTCCAATTGCACACTTCTAATCGTTAAAAGATTAATTAATTTACTACTCAAAACAAAAGTAGCTTCTTACTTGAACTGCTTGCTATTTTCCAAATGGAGATTCCCATGCCCATCTTCATTTGCCATTGTTGGGGAAGAAGCTCTCCAATTTCTAGCTGCTGCAACAAACACACGGTAGATTCTGCGTAACGGACTCTTCTCGTTCTTTTTGACACTGAACCTGTAAGTTTGAGTTCCGAGCAAGAAAATCCCCAGGGCAAAGACCATCACAACACAGGGGATTCCGAACCCCAGGCCCCAACTCAAATTATCTTGGACATATACAATGATCAAGAGTGTCACGAAAATACCCACATACGTCCCGAAGTACCACCAATTGAAGAAAGAGCTCTTGGCCTTACTTTCCTCCGGCTCTTCCCCGTCAAATTGGTCTGCGCCGAACGCCTGAACGCAAGGCTTGTGACCTGCTTGCCCGACTGCGACCAAATACAGAGAGAAGAAGAAACAGAGTACTTGGAGACGAGGAGGAGAACAGGACGCAGGTTTCCCGCTGTTTTCGCATGGGGAAATCTTGAACGAAGGAAGGGTCGCCGTTAAGGTTAACAAGCACAATCCCTGTAAATTCAGATTAATGCAACCAAAAAAAAAGCTTGATTATTGTTCTTTAACGGAGTTCGATGTGACATTGCAACGTGTTTGCACCTGTCCGAACGTGTGACAGATGGATGGATCTCTTAGAAAATTTCACCAAGCTTCACTTTTACTGAATGTCAGAATTTGTTTTGCATCGGCAGAATACCCAAATCCACCCCAAAGTATAGTGGTAGGGAAGGATCCACCCTCAAACAAAAAATGAGAATAAATTCACCCACAAAATTTTTGATTTAGACAAATCACCCAAAATAAATTTAACGTGTGATGTCATTTGACATCAGCAATCTATTAATTTGACGTCATCTGATGTCAGCAATCCGTTAACATATTAATGAATTACTGATGTCAAATGACGTCATACGTTAAATTTGGAGTGATTTGTCCAAGTCGAAAATTTTGTGGTGAATTTGTCCCCATTTTTTGTTCGAAGGTGGATCCTTCATTGCCACTATACTTTGGAGGTGTACTTGTGTATTTTGCCTTTTGCATTTACATCATGCCCTTGAGTCGTTTATCATTTTGTGTTTCTTTTCTCTTAAAAATTGCACCCATAAAGAAACCACTGGTTGGAAAAAAAAGGGATTGGTTTCTCCTTCCTACTATCTAATAATTTGTATTTGGTAATTTGATAAAATTTAAATAGAAAATTAATAGGTGATGTTGTTGTAATATCTTTAATTATTAATATTATATTTTTTTTATCTTAATTTGTTATTATATCTTTTAATTTATTAAAATATGAAAACATATAATGTAAGGATATAATAAATAATTATTTTAAAAAAATATGATATTAATTATTTAAAATGTGACAATTATTTCACCCAAATCAATAGGAATATAATTAAATGGTAAAAATATATATAAGATTATAATTAGGTATAATCATAAAATAACTACAATATAATATAACTTACATTTATTTATTATGAGGTTAAAATTGAACATTATTCCATTTTTATACAGGATTATAGAACACTTCAAATATTTCTTCATGATAGAGATTGACAACATAAATCCTAACGTCTATGGACCCAAGTCCAAGAAATGGAAAATTTTCAATATTATGGACAAAATTTGATTTGTTTGTTTCTTTTTGTTGGAAATGTTGTCAGATGGAAAATTTTCAAAATGACAGCAGAAATTCTGAAATTCTGACTTTTTGTTTCTAGAATGAGGTAGTAGCTGTCAATCTTGCTTCAAGGAATTAAGGGGGGCTAACCAGGATGTAGATCAGAGAAGCAATGATGATTGTACGGTAGCGGCCGAGGAAGGAATCAGCAACAACGGCGCCGAGTAGTGGGAGGAGAGTGGCAGTCCCCCCCCAAACGTTCACATTCTCGGCGGCGGTCACCGTGGACTGGCGGAGCGGCCCTGTTAAGTAGCTGATGAGGTTGGAGCTGATGCCAAAGTAGGCGAACCTCTCCGCAACTTCCACGCCTGCATGCAATTAATTGATCACTAGCTAATTAACTTATACGGAAATTTCCGTTTCAGAGTTCGGTTCAAGTGAGTAAATACTTTACCTATGATGAAGAATGCAGATCTCCATCCGCCGGAGTTGGATCTGAGTCCTTCTGCCGTGGCGGTGGCACCGCGCTGCACTGAAGTTTCATCCATGTCTTCAGCGGGGAGTATCGAAGTTAGGGAGGACTTAATTTACAGTATTAGTTTTAGATAAGGCTACTATTTATGAGAAGAACGTAGTCCGAACACCAAGGGCACAAACACCAAAAATTTTAGGCACTTTGGCATAAATGCTTAAAATATTAATTATAAAATTAATGATATTGATTTTTTTTTTTCATTTTAAAATAATAAACAGTGTGTTTTATATTATTTATCTTATCTTCAAAAAAAAATCTTATAAATTAAATAAAAGTTAATTGATTCTTTCATGAATTAAGAAATAATTATAGTATATGAGATTTGATTTAATAAAATTAAATGAGAGTTAATTTATTTCTTTATAAATTAAGAGTTATTTATGGTAGGTGAGACTAATTAAATGGGAAAATATATTAACTGTTTTAATTTTTAAATATAAATATAGTAAAATCCAGAATTAGAGTAGTTTTTAAATTATTTAATATTAAAAAAATTCACATAATCATCTTTTACATGATGGATTTTTCACATAATATTGAAAATATAAAATAGTCAATCATTTAACAAAAAAATTAATCACATCAGCACTTAACTAAGAGTGGACGAAATTGGTGCTGAAAATTGAAATTGAAAGATGATTTTGATACTTTTTGAAGTTCAAAGATGAATTTGGTTCAAAAAAAAAAAATTAAGGGATCAATTCAGGTATTTAACTTTAACCTAAAAAAAATACGTTAGCCATGTCAACATTATCACTTAATTAATTTTTAAATAAAAAAATTAAAAATTAACATATTTAAATAAATAAAGTTGAAAATTAACATTTTATTTAAAAAAAATTGAAAGTTGACATTTTTATTTAAAAATTAACAAAATTAACATTTTTAAATTAAAAAAATACAAAATTGACATCTTTATTTGTACATTTTATTATTATTATTATTATATTTCCCACATTGCTAGTTGAAGTTTGCCAAGATTTGTGTCGAATCTTCC